CAGAATTACAGGCATGCGCTACACGCCCGGCTGAGTTTTGGATTTATTGTAGAGATGAGGTCTCGCTGCCCAGGCGGGTCTCTAACCCACGGGCTCAGGCAATTACTCACCTCAGCCTCCCAATGGCGCGGGATTGCAGGCTGAGCCACCGAGCCCGGCTGGGACGAGTGTTCTAACGTGGGTTTGGGTGCCAGCTACTATTGAAAGCTAATTGCTGTTTGTTACTGTATAAGCAAAAGACAGCTGTGGTTTTTTTTCCTGAAAGTGTTACATATGTCACACCAATAATGGAAACCTAGTAGCAAAGCACAGGGTGGCGCACATGGTGTCCCAGCTATTTGAGGGCTGAGGCCGGAGGATCACTGGATCCCAGGGGTTTGAGACCAGTCTGGGCAGCAGAACAAGACCCCATCTCTAAGAAAAAGAACGAATGCCTTCTTTTCATCTGCAGGTGAGATCCGGAACCATCTTCGACAACTTCCTCATTACGGACGACGAAGAGTATGCCGAGAACTTTGGCAAGGCCACCTGGGGTCAAACCAAGGTAGATGCGCACCGTTGACTTTTCCTCTGTGGTTCATTTACTTTTGCAAATTTTGTCCAGAGGCCTAATGCACAGGAAAGGGCTTGGCGTGTTTTTATCAACAAACGCCGCACCCAGCTCAAGATGTGGACGTGGCCAGCATTCCAGAAGCCTCCATGCACCCCCCTGGACAGCCCTCACCCCCAAAAGCCTGCACTGTCCGTCACCACAGACGGACTTGCCTGTCCTGGCAACGCGAATAGATGGAGCCATCCACTGTCTCAGCCTCCTAGACGCTGTTGTGAGGTTCGCGCATCTGTGCGTCATGGCAGCCGGCCCTTAGTGTGAACATTGCAAGGTGCTGTGCCCCTTCTCTGAGGATGCGGCCTGGGCTTGCTCCAGTGTGAGGCCTTCTCAACAAAGCTGCCGTGAGCGCCTTGGGGTGTCTCTCAGGGGACACGTGCCAGGAGCCGGACTGCTGAGGCGCGCGGGCTCATGCAGCCGCGGTTCTCCACGTGGTGGCTGTATTTGCGTTCCCTTCCGCAGGGGATGAGGCTCCAGCTGTGCCACATCTGTGACGCTGTGTGCCTAGTGCTCTTAGCTGTGGTTAGGTCGTAGCAGTCGAGGTGTCGTTTGCGCACTGTAAGACGTGCCCTTTTTAGGTGCGCCAGTCTGTGCATTTGGCAGATGCATACAGTTGTGAAGCCACCCCCAGAGTCAAGATACAGAACCGTGCCGTCACCCAGAAGTATCCTTGGGCCGCTTTGTAGACGCCTCCCCCGCCAGGCAACCACTGTTCTGCCATCTGCCCCTCCAGTCTTGCCTCTTCTAGGATGTCACATGCCTAGACACACGCAGTGAGTGACTGGAGCTGCTGTCTCAGCATGGTGGTGTGTCCGAGACGCACCCACGCCTTAGGTCCAAGCTGGCTCCTCCTTTTGCTGGACGTTGGCTTGTTTCTAGCTGACATGTGGGTTGTTTCCCGTCATTGACAGTGTGAACGGGGCTGTTGTGAATATGTGCGCCCGCTTTTCTTTCCCAGGGCTGAGTCACTGGGCCATATGGAGCATGTCTAGCTGTGCGAGAAACGGCCTGGGTTAGCGTGGTGGCGCCACTCAGGAGTCTGAGACTGAAGGGATTGCTGAGACCAGGAGTTCGAGGCTAGCCGGGCAACATAGTGAGATCCCCGTCGCTAAAAAAAACGTGTTTAAAAGGAAAGGAACTGCCAGAGTGTTACCAGAGTAATACGCTGTGGTCCCTCCAGTCTTGAACCTTCTCCGGCTCTGAGATTGTCCGTTTTGGTAGGCGTGCAGCGGCATCTCCCTCGGGTTAGTTTGCACATCTCTGATGGCAAATGAAGGTGGACGCTGCTTCATGGCCTTCTGTGGGCGTCTGGAGAGATCCTCTCTCGTGAAAAGCCTGTGGGGGGTGTGCGTGTTTTGGATCAGGCTCTCGCTCTGTCACCCAGGCCGGATGGCATGCTTGGAGCTTGCCACAGCCTCCACCCCCTGGGCTCAGGCAGTCCTCCTGCCGCAGCCTCCCGAGTCGCTGAGACTACAGGCACCACCACGCCTAGCTAACTCGTTGATTTCTTTTGTAGAGACGAGGTCTCGCTATGTTGCCCAGGCTGGTCTTGAACTTCTGGCCTCAAGTGATCCTCCCGCCTCGGCCTCCCAAAGTGCTGGGGTTATGCCCAGCCCATTTATAACTCTTTAAAGTCAAAGTAGTAAGACCTGTCGTATGTACTGTTAATGGATGGAAGCGTTTGTTTCTTATGCCATTAAGTATCAACAAGACTGTGGCACACCTCACGTGAGCTAAGAGGACAGCGGGCTTCTCTGCGTGCCCCGAGTTAGGGGAAGCTCTTTGAGGACCCTGACGCCGTACCAGCCATCGACTCTGAGTCAGTCAGCGGTGTGCTAGGGAGCCTCAGCGAGGCTGGGCATGAGGCTGGGCGTTTCTGAAGAAGAAATGCTTGCTTGGCTCGCGGTTCTTGTGATCGGGCAGGTTCAGGGTTGGGAAGCTGCATCTGGTGAGGTCTCAGGCTGCTTCCACTCAGGGGGAGGCGAGGGGAGCCATGCAGAACACACGGGGAGTCCAGGGTCTTCCTAACAACAGCTCTCGCAGGAAGCCTCTATTTAGAAGGAGAGCCCACTGGTGACTGCCTGCCAGGAGGCACTGAGCTGTTCCTGAGGGATCCCCCGACACCTCCCATGAGCTCACCTCCAACACTGGGGACCAAAGGTCAGCATGAGGTCTGGAGGGCAAACAGCCAAACTGGCAGTGTGCACACATCTTCCTGGCTTTAGAGGAATTCCCTCAGTTCCTCTTTTCCCAGGGCCTTTTTGTCGCCTTCCCATCCTGGAAGTCACATTGAGACTAGCTGAAACACTTAGCGTTTTAAGGCGTTCCAGATGGAGATTCCCCCTCCTTTGTTTAAAGCGGTATGAAGGGCCTGACATGGCGGTGCATGCCTGTATTCGCAGTACTTAGGAAGGTCGAGGTGGGGGGGGAGCGCTTGAGGCCAGGAGTTCGTGACCAGCCTGGGCAACAGTGAGATCTCATTTCTACAACAAAAAAAGTCAGTTATCATGAATTGATTGTTTCACGAACCATTTCTTCTTGAGTCTGACTTCTGCCCTAAATCTTTACTAAAATGCTTTCTCAGAGAATACTATGGGAGCTTTCTTGATGTTGTCTGCATGCTGACCTTGACCCTCTTATTAATCATACACGCCTGAATTTTTCTTTTCTTTATTCTCACCCTGTGGCCCAGGATGGAGTACAATGGCACACTTATGGCTACCGCAGCCTTGGCCTACTGGGATCAGGCAAACCTTCCTGCTCAGCCTTCCAAGTAACTGGAACTATAGGCGTGTGCCACCACATCAAGCTAACTTTTTTATTTACTGTAGAGACGAGGTTTGAAGCTGGTCTCAAACCCCTGGGCTCAGACAATTCTCTTGCCTCAGCCTCCCAAAGTGTTGGGATTACAGGCGTGAGTCACTGCGCCCAGCTAGATTTTCTTATTTAGACTCCGAGGCCTCTGTTCATGGGCCCATTCACGAATCTGCTGTTTGATGGATGGGGCCGGTTCCTCAGGTAACAGAAGGCGACTCTTTGATTCCTGTGGTTGCTGTAATTGTCATGAGCTGGGTGTCCTGAAGTCATAGACACGGCCCTCTGTTCTGGAGGCCAGAAGCCCCATCTCAGCATCTGTTGGCCCGAATCAGGGAGGCTGCAGGGCCGAGCTCCCTCCGCAGGCTCTAGGGGAAGATGCCTCCTTGCCTCTCCAGCTTCTGATGGCTGCCAGGGTTCCTGGCTGGTGACTGTGTTGCTCTGGCCCCTGCCTTGTCTTCCTGTGGCCTTCTCCCCTCGTTTGTGGGTGTCAGCTCTCCACCTGCCCCTCTCTTATGAAGGCGCCGTGATGGGATTCAGACCCGCCTGATAACCCATGTACTCTCCCATCTCAGATACTGATTTGGATCACATTTGAGAGACCCGGGTCCCATGTCAGGTAATGTGGCTGTTTCCAGCAATGAGGACTTGATGTGTCTGGGCTCTCACTCGGTCTGTCCAGGGCTGTGGAGATTTCTGGCAAGAGGGCAGCCTGAGCACTGACGTGCACTCGGTCCACGTAAGCGAACCCCGGGCCGCGGGGGCCTTTGCCTTTTGTCTCCTCTCCAGGGTCCAGAAAGGGAGATGGACGCCGTCCAGACCAGGGAGGAGGTGAAGAAGGCCCGCGAGGAGGATGAGGAGGAACTGCTGGCGAGGAGGGCCAAGGGGCAGGGGAGCCACTTTAGCTGGTTCCCCGGGCGGAACGAGCTGTAGCCATTCCCACCAGAGATAAAGGCGATCGGTAAAGGCCACACTCACGTTTGTCTGTGTTTAACCTGCACGTGTCTTTGGGGTCATGTGTCTCCTTTCCTCTGAACAGCGTTGTCGTGCTTCTGGGTGGTTGGTCCATGTCCCTGATGACCCTGGGCACGGAGACGTTTCCCCCTGACGATGCTGACCCTGGAAGCCAGAGGCCAGCAAGTCTGGCCAGAAACATGACACTCTTTTCCCAACCCCCAACATGTTTTTCTATTTTTATAAGAGAGAAGTTGGTAAAACTTACTTTGAAAAAGAAGTATGCTTGCTTTCTTGTGGTGTGGGTCACTAATACCAGCAAGGAAACTCTTTCAGTATGAAACCTTCACGCAGCATCTTTGGCGTCGGAGGGTTCTGTTGCTTGTGTGTCGGTGGTCTCCGCACAGACTCCTGTCGTGACACAGAAGCCTTCACTTGTCGGCTCTCTGAAGGAAAGCAGAATGAAATTCACTGTCTCAGGGAGTCATGACAAGGTCTCAGTTTAAATGTTTTCTTTGACATAATTTGCTTTTTTTTTTTTTTTGAGTTGGAGTCTCACTCTGTTGCCCAGACTGAAGTGCAGTGGCCACTCCTGGCCACCGTAGCCTCGACCTGCTGGGCTCCGGCAATCCTTCCGCCTCAGCCTTCCAAGTAGCCTGAATTATAGGCGTGCACTACCACATCTGGCTGATTTTTGATTTATTGTAGAGATGAGGTCTTGCCAAGTTGCCCAGGCGGGTCTCGAACCCGCGGGCTCAGGCAATCCCAAAGGCGTGGGATTACAGGCTGAGCCACCGAACCCGACTCATAATTTGCTTTTTAAGTCACATGTGCCCGTCTTCTTTTTGAAGAGACCCATCATCACCCTGAAACTTATCCTGGAAGTCATGAAAAAAAGGTAATCAAATTTATGACACCATCCAGCGATGTGTGATTAAACCAGATGAATCAGAATTTGCATATAGATTTGGAGAGATCTCTTTGAAAACCCTGCCTCGGAGGTGAGGTCTGGTG